CATAGCTAGGCAGGATGCGAAACTGTTTCTGGCTCTGGACTTTAGCTGAGATAAGGAGTTTCGGGATACATTTGGAGAAGGGGCCTTTCCTAAAACTTTTATATTGCCCAGCCACCGTTTTCATTCGAGTGATCAGAGCTAGTTCCTTCTTTTGGGATTCTATAGGTGGTCAGAGTTACACATCCAATTCAGGCTTTTTAAAAATGTCACCAATAATTTGATAGACAGTACAGTGATATTTCTAGTTATTTTAGAGGATTCTGATCAATCTTGTGTGCCTGATAAGCTTGCTCAATATTCAGGTTTGGTTGCCCACTGTTAGCAGCCTTTCATCCGTACTATATGATTATCAGTTGAATGTTTCCCTCCTCGGTATATCAGCTGTTCAGAACAAAGTTTGTAGAATCATACTTTAGCCAGCTTTTAAAGAAAGCACCAATAAGGAGCACATTCCTTAGCCTTTTTTTAGTTAAGCTGGAAATGGCTCAAATTAGATACAGTGTTGAGTAGCTGCAGATTAAAACTATTGCAATACACGCCTCAGGCTTTGTAATTCTTCTTATCAGGAAGCATAGAAAATGAGCCAAGGCATCTGTGTAAAATCTGGGACTGCTTTCCTGCCTTATTAGACAATTTCTCCCGCATCCTCTTCCTTTTTCCAGAAAAGTGAGATTGAAACAAGGGCATAGAAGAAGGTTTCATTTGGTCTTCTACCTAGAAAGGCATCCACGGTCACATTGTGAATCTCTTCACAATTTTTCTAGAAAAGTTTCAGGCATTCAGAGGAATACCTTCAAAACATCCAAAAGCCATCACAAAGCCCCTTTACAAATGGTTCCTGCTGGACTGGCATGTTTTCAAAGCAAATGAACGCAAAGTATATCAGACTATAAATGGATTTTTGCTGGTCAATAATATTTTTATTTATTTATTTATTTAGATCATTTATATGGCTGCCCAAACATATGTCTGCAAAGGGAAAAAGAGCAGCTATTTTCTTAATGGCGGATGTTAGTTTTTATTATGTTTTTGCAAGTGGTATATTGTCATCCATCAGCTATAGCACCTTGTGATGTAAGTGTCTGCTACACATTTTTTTTTGCAATATGGTGCTGATAAAGTTTCCGTCATGTTCTTTCAGAGAAGCGACCTTTCTCTGATGAACATGTACCTCTTGAAATCAATTAACACATCCACCTCTTTTTCCCAAGTCAGAATCCTGGCTTTCTGGACTCAGGAGGATGGTATTTTGCACTTTTCCTCACACTCAAGCCAAGAATTTTCATTTTTCTTGTACCTGCACAAAACACCTCTATAGTGTTGTGCTGCATCTATTATTTTGTAACAGGGAATAAATTCCCTTACTGATCTAAAAGAGAGATACTGTTTAATAAGCTACTGGTTAAGATTAACAGCCCGGAAAATCTACTTTTGACCTGCCTGACTTGCTCTACCAAACTGGGCCATTGCAGTCTACGGGAGTTTCAGATGGGAGTTGCAGCTGAACAGGAACAATTGAGCACCAGCCTCAAAACCATAAATAAGCTAGGCAGACTCTTTTCATCCAATTTGGATTTTACCCTTGTTTGTTCCTGAAATGCTGTCAGTTATCTTTGTAAAGGGGAGAGTTAGCGGCATTGATTTATAAGGTGGAAGTTCTCTTTCAAGGCTATTCTTAGTTGTGATTAGGCTTGAGAAAGCCACTATCATCAACGTTTATTGTTATTACCCAAGGAGCCCTATGCATTATCAGTTATAGTCATTAAAAAAAATCAAAGCACATTAAAATAGTTTCATTTACACTTCTGATTGTCTGCATCTACTGCATTTTTGGCAAATTTTTGTTCATTTAAGAATATGGATTTTTTTTTAAACAGAATTTGAAGGCTGTAGACTTGAATCAGTCAGAAGCACAGGCCCAATCCTTGAAGAAGGAAGAGTATCTGTTTCAACTTTGGAATGGCTACTCCAAAATCTAGAGTTCTTGAATACTCCTACTTAAATAGATTTCCACGTCTGTGCTGTGCACAACATTTAAGGAAAACTAAACTGAATTCAGCGCAGGAATCTTTACTCATAAATTAAACCAGACAACCAACATCAGTTGTGGATTTTGTTGAGGCCTCTTTAAAACCAAGGAGATTATAAAAATGAAGCACTGGTAGTTCCAAACAGAGAAGAGTTGAGTTTGGATGTGTTCTCTTGTTGCACATAAGCTATAAATATGCTAAATGCTTAACATGATTCACAAAGGTGAAAAGTAGAAATATTTTAATATGTATAATATGCTAAATACATCAAGGAAGTCCATCTATTGTGGAATGACAAATTATCCAGAAAAATAAAATCTGATATAAAATGAAACTGTCTGCCTGAATCACATGTATGTGCAAAGTCACTATATACTGGTGTTCACAATATGCAATTTTTCCATCTTCCCTGTAAATAGTTCAACTCAGTATGGATTTCTGAAAATGTTGGCTTAACAAAAGTAAGTCATCAATTTCAGATGTGATTACATAGAGGTGGATAGGGAGAATTAACTGTTTGCTTAAAATGGCATGAACAAGATTTGTTCATTTATATAAATAGATTTTTCCAGGGAAGGATCAATGTAGTCTTGCAATTCTTTGCAATTAATTCTTGATTAATCATTCAAGGCCAGTTGAAATTAAATTCATCCACTGCAAATAGATAATTGGCCTTTGAATGGCCATAAAACTCTGTATTTTAGGGGGGGGAAATCCAACACACAGGTGTGTGTGCATGAAAAAAAATAACTTCTTGGTGACATTCCCCTATTAAAATGAACATACTTGCTATTTCTCATCACTGGAGGCTTCCCACTTAGCCCCATGTTCTGATATATTTAACAGGTAGTTTTGGAGAAACACTATGACCTTCAACTTTGATATAAAATGCACTATAGTACCTCATATTTTCTGAATATGAATGCATAAGAAGTCAGGGTTGCATTCACACCAAGCCGCTGACTCTTTCAGGGTCACTAAAGAAACTGACTCTCTAAAATATAGTAATATAAATTTGTGTACATAATGAATTCTCTATAAGCCAAATCTCTTGAGGGTACCTGGTAGAATGAAGCCATTTCAGAAAGGCTAAATGATAAATGGCTCTGCCTCCTTGATGACCCCTCTGAGCAACATATAATAATTATTAGATGACCTCTAATGAATCTTGTTAATTTGCTGCATACCAAAATAAAACCCAAGGATTTTTCAATTCTTTTCTGTGGCCAAGCCCAAGATCTTTCAATTGGAAGGAAAAAGCCTGTAACATAGACTTAAAATGAGTCCCCAGTCAGAGTTTGGAATAAAAAAAAACATGCTGAAGCTATTAGAGACTTTTTAGAGAAGCTTTTAGAGACAGAAGCAAGTCTCAGAAGTTTCATTAGTCTTAAGTGGCAAACCACAAAAATCGTGAGAACTTAAACTATCTTTGCATTTTACAGAAGTGTGCAAAGTTTGTCATTTCCCTTCTTCTTTTCTTCTCTAGACACATTCATCACAACTACACTATGATTCAGGGTATCCATGGAGAGAGGGGGTCAAAACCATCAAAATGGCAGCTTTGATTGCAGCTGCCATTTTGATTTTTTGACACCTGGCCCCTTTCTTCCATCCTGGATATTCCTACCATGATTTCACCTCAGCGGAACCACATTATGCTCAATCACTCACTTGATAACTATACTATTATTATGTCTTTTTCCTTCTTTTTTAACCTAGAATTCTCCAATGCCCCCAAGAATCTGAGCACTGTAATGTTTTGCATTTAACAAATCTTTCCTCTGCTAAATCCTCTAGGATTAGCCGAGGGGCTGCTTTGCACAGGTGACTTAAACAAATAAATTAACAAATAGCAGCCTAATAGTTACCCAAGTGCTTGAAAACACGGTCAACAATTTGTTTTCTGATAGGGCCATGAAAAACATGATATTCCACAGCTATCTTGCAACCTTTTTGATTTGGAGTTGTGACTAGGGAAACAAATACTAGTAAAATATCACCGCAAATTGATAATTCCATCCTAGTACACAATTATTAAGTATATGCTCCATTCTCCAATGGAGAATCAGCTCTCTCAAGACACAAAGACATATAGTCATCCACATACATCAATATAGTGGCATACAAATGAATTAATAGTTATGAAATCAGAGGTAGGAAGTTACATACTGAGCCCTTTTGTATTTCCTTCCAGAAACCCTTACAATGCAACACTGTATGGTGCTCTACTTAGGCATCTTTTAAATTTGTCCATCTGCTCTTGTTATTAGAAAACAGAGAGAAGAAGAGGAGAAAAACGTCTTCAGACCTGAAGAATCCTTCTAAGCAGATGAAAAGAATATTCATAAAGGATTCAGAAATGGGGACAATAACAAGTTCTAGGTCACACTTTGAAAGGAACACATCTCAATAATACTGTAGAATATTTCCAATTCTTCAGTTCAGAGGAAGTCTTAGTAAAGGACCTATATACTGATTGTACCCACAGTGGCGTGAATTATATGCCTTTTCTAAAATCATTTTCTCTCCCCCTCCCCCCAAGACCACTTGGCTGGCTGGTTTTTTTTGTGCAAATAGCCCTGAGTGGCACTTTGTGATGTGCGTATAAATACTGCTGAGTCTTTATCTACCATCATCTATGTTTAAACACTTAAAACAAAAACCTCTTACTCTTCAATATTTAAAGGTCATGTACCATTTGTATAAGTTTGCAATAAAGTTGGGTACATATTCTGATCAGATTGGCCAGAGTTAATGAGCACTTTTTTTGGAATGACTTATAGCATCTCCATAGCATCACCCAGCCAGCACTGAAGAAATATAAAGCTTGTCTTTATTACTGGTATGTGGCAGAACAATGGGTGAGTGACTCTAGAAGATGCTATAAGTTGAGAGTGCAGAAATGACTTCAGAGGAACTAACTGTAAGATGAAGTCAATCATAAAATATCAACAACAGTCCAGCTTTCACTTATACAGCTGCAGTCACCGAGTCCTTCTGCCTTGGATCTTGGTACCTGCATTGGTACTGATCAGGAGTGCTTTGTCTGTGTCCTATTCTGCCCACCTCATTATAAGGTGGAGCTCTGTGGCCTTGTGGTGGGGATGGTGGTACATCTTGGCGGAGAGGTCCTTTGTGCTGAATTACTGGCTGTGGTGGGAAATATGGTGAATACCATAACTCTGTTGCTCTTGGGCCATCTGGTGGATGAAGGTAGCTCCCTTTGGAGGGGTGAATTGCAGGTTGGCTTGCAGGAGGGTAGTGAAGATCTCTGTCTTTGTGTGCTATCCGTAGTCCTGTTAAATATTCCATTGGTTCTACAGATCCATGCCTAGGAAGAAAAATAGAAAGGGGGTGAGAAGCTGTCAGTAAAAAGTCTTGCATCGCTTCATCTAAAATGCAGCAATTGTTTTGGGCAAGAAATGTCACTTCCACTAATTAACAAAAGTCCCTCAGAATAAAAACTAAAGCGCTGGACTGATAAAACACAAAAAAAGCCAGTGGAAAAGTCCAGCCTCCACATATTGTAGCTTCTTCATCAATACGTTCGAGCTATTCACCTTATTTGCAAAACTGTACTGAAAGCACTTTCTTTTTTTGTAAGAAAGTAAAGTCTAAAACATATGATGAACAGCTGCAGGACTTGGGTTTGGCTAGTCTAAAGAAAAGAAGAAACAGGGGTGACATGATAGCAGTATTCCAGTATCTGAGGGGCTGCCACAAAGAAGAGGGGGTCACGTTATTCACCAAAGGGCAGGACAAGAAACAATGGTTGGAAACTGATCAAAGAAAGAAGCAACCTGGAATTAAGGAGAAACTTCCTAACAGTGAGGACAATTAACTAGTGGAACAGCTTGCCTCCAGAAATCGTGAGCGCTCCCTCACTGGAAGTTTTAAAGAAGAGACTGGACAGTTACTTGTCTGAGATGGTATAAGTTCTCCTGCTTGAGCAGGAGGCTGGACTTGAAGGCCTCCATGGTCCCTTCCAGCCTCTACTCTACTCTACTCTACTCTACTCTACTCTACTCTACTCGATAAAGTGTGTTTGTGTCTTGTCTAGCCTGAAGATATACTGATGAATTTGGTCTGTATCCCAGCAAACCATAACACTCATGTACAATTCACACGTCAAAGCTGATTTGCCCATGTTGTCACATCAAACATGCTAGTCATAAAACTCTTGAAGGCCCGCAATTAGAAAGCCTGGCAGTCCCATAAAAATATTAAAGATATGAGGACATAGTATCTGTGTTTAGTGAGCCAGCTACCATTAACATTTTTCTTTCTGGGTGTGCAGCACCATGTAACCTGTGGGCATATGTATGATCTTGTATATGCTTCTCAAGTCGCTTGCATTAATTTATATTTGACAAGATTTGGATCATTAGAAAACTCACACCATGGACTGCCGGGGATGGCTGATGACGGGGCCATTCTAAAGGTTTTCTGTCCCAAATTTGGATTAACATTAAAGAGGTATTCTCTCCCTAAAGCCAGGACAAATGATATGTGGAATAAAGAAGTGTTGTTTGTAGATGTCAACTCCAACAAGATGAAAGTTTGACTATTAGGAACTGTTCTCTGAAGAGTGAAATGCTTTTTTCAGTTATAGAAAGAACTCTGGCTGTCTTTGAATTGACTTGCTGACTGCAACATTGAAAAACCAAAAGAGTTCATGTCTTAGTGCTAGTTTTGTCAGATCCGACATGTCATATTTTCCACTCTTTCATGAACTTAGACAGTGTTTCAAATGTTGTATTCTTCTGCTAAATTTGTGCAATTCATGTAATTTGTGCAATTACGTTTCATGCATTTGATCCAGCTTGCCAAAGAAAAAAGTGAAGCACTGGAGAATAGCCAGGGAGAGCTTCTCCTAGGAGCAGAGTTGCTTAGAAAGCATAAGACAGATCCACCCTAACCAATAATGGGAATATAATACTTACAGATTTTTTTTTCTAAAAGAGGCAAGGGAACTGTAATGGGTAGGCAAAGATTCAAAGTGAGTATGAAATAGATGGATGGACAGACGGAAAGACAGATAATCACCTAAATCAGCTATGGGATGAAGGTGTCTTCCCTTACATTATAAACTATAGACAAAGGATTTTAGACTTCCCAGAGAGACACCAATTGTCCCAAATCACCATCTCTTCCATGCCTAAAAGGAGACCAAAATTTGGGTCTTCCCATTCCTAGTGCAGTACTTTAACCAATGCATCATACTGTCTTTTATATATATGCGTGTGCACGTGCACACATGCACACATACACACAACCAGAATTTTATGTTTCTTCCTAAACTAGGAAGGAAGGGAGTTTGAATTTAGTTACTTATGTTAAGCAATTTGTGGTCTTTTACTTGATACTTGATGCATTGTTAGAGTTCCATCTGGAGAGAAAAAAAACCCTATTAGTTCATGTCATCTAGCGCTTTGAAAGCTACAGAATCATTCAAAGGAGAGCTCTACTTCTCCTTTCTAGAAAAGTGGCAGAAATATTGAATCTCTGTTGGCAGTTCAGGATTAGCTTAAAATGGTTCTTTGATCTGGCTTTCTTGCTAGATGTGCAGGTGGAATGCATATTTCCTTTGGGGGGGGGTGTTTGCTTTGTCAGCCACAGCCATCTTGATAAAGATGGACCTTGTCAGTCATGTCTTAGCTAACTCCAGCTTAGATTACTGTCACATGAAATGCGCTCCCAAGGGACCAGGCTTGTCATCCATGTCTTTTCAATGCTAGGCTGGCAATCTTATCTCAGACGTTTCTATGGTGCTATTGTCCCTATGATGTTGGCTGCTTGCATTATATTGGACCAGAATCTTTTTAATGACTTTTCTGTACTATTTATTCATTATACAATTTTTTTCTTTTTAAATTACTTCAGTAACATTATGATATGCTCAGAAAATTCAACAGATGTTAGCAATCTTAACTCAGCAGTATGATTCACCAGTCAATCAATGCAGTCAGAAATTACTCAGAAACTGCAATTAGTCCAAAAGTTGCAGTTTAGTTGCTGCTGTGAACTAGGCATTTTGGCAAACTATAGCGACATAGCACATCCAGGGCAGAGAGACCTAATCTTGACCAACAAACAAGTCAATAAATAAGCAAGCTATTGGCTAACTCACAACTTTATTCAGGGTGATAAATAAAGGAAAGAAAGAAAGAGCACATGTACAGAACCCTAGATAGTCTTTGACTTAAACCATTTGTTTAACGACCATTTGAAGTTAGAATGGCACTGAAAAAAGTGACTTATGACCATTTTTCACACTTTTCACACTTACAACCACTGCAGCATCTCCATAGACATATGGACACTTGGCAACTGGCTCATATTTATGAGGACTATGCGTTTCCCAGGGTCATGTGAAAACCTTTGGTAACCTTCTGACAAGCAAAGTCAATGGGGAAGCCAGATTCTCTTTACAACTGTGTTCCTAACTTAACAACTGCAGTGATTTACTTAACAACTGTGGCAAGAAAGGTCGTAAAATGGAACAAAATTCGCTTAACAACAAGAACTACCTGTAGTCCCTTCATGGTCTAATGCTACTTTCAATCATAAAGAAAGTATCCCAAATTGGGGATAGAAAGAGAATTAACTGTCTTGAAATGTGGTTGCGTAGTGCAGGTGGCAGCAGTAGCTCCCACAACACATGTTGGCTTGTAGTCCATTCACCATCTCTGAGGGTGGCTTCAGGCCTTCAGCACTTGGTCTGGAGTCTCTCACAGCAAACAGGGAGGGCCTGTCTTTTATAATGTTCTGTTTTTAAAGTGAAGAATCTCTGGGGAGTACAGGAGCCCTGAAAGTCCAAGGCCTGGAATTTTTCCTCTCTCTCTTTCCACTTTAAACAGGAAACATTTGCACTAAGCAATTCCAGTGGGAGAACGCAGGTTCATTTCAAGGCAGATAATGTTTGCCCGTTGCTTGTGTTTGGTGATTTATCCTATGGGCTTAAATGAGTCCGGCAGGAAGAAAAAAAACACACATTATGTTTCATGTCATGTAAAACAATGCTTGGTGAGTCTGGAGCACAGCACAGACACGAATCACTAGACAAATAAGATGAGGGTCAGAAATGTGCAATTTCAGATAAGAGTCGAATGATCAGCAATTTGCTGCTTCTTTTTTAAAGTTATTATTTTGGCATGCCAGAACATGGCATTTAAAAGTGCTGAGCAACAAAAGTAGATTATCATGGTTTTAACTTAGACTGGTTAGTGCAGGAAGCTGGAGGAATTTCATATACTCCTGGAGTCTTAGCAGGTAAGGAAGATTATGAGATCTTGTAACTATATGAATAAAGCATTAAATATTGCCTCATTTTTTTTGATGGAATTACCTAAGTAACAAAATAGTTTGAAACTAGGTGGAATATCCCCAGGATCGACTTTGTGCTCCTTTTTTTTAAAGGGCATGATCTAAATTGTATTGAGAATCTGAATATCCAGAATGATCAGCCTGAAACAATAAATGTGGCAATGTAGCTCATTTGAGGAAAATAGGGTTCTCTTAATTTTGTTGGAATGACAAGGTTGTTAGCATTTTCTTTGTTTTGCTTTCCTTTTTTCCTTTTTTCTTTTTGTAGAAGATGATGACTTTAGGGGAATTTTAGCTTATCTAAAAACATAGAGATAATTTGTAGAACAAGACAAAAATAAGACAGAAATACACATAACAGCCCTAATTGAAGTCTTATGACTAATCCGGAGAAGAAATGGAAAACACCAATCTACAGTTTGTTGTGTTAAGAAGGTGATTTACAAAAGTTACTTTGATGGACTGTTTTGAGTGCAGACTATGGAAAAAGGGAAAATGGATTTTAATTAGGGTGTTTCTGAAATAAACATGCAGAGTGTTATTTCTCTTACTCTTGGGGAGAGATGAAGCACTATTCAGGATATTAACCTTATTCTATCCTCCCTAACTCTTATATATATATTTGTACTAATTAGAAGATTAATTTTTAAAAGGTTGTTAGAAGAAATAATGAAAATTATTGCCAGAGTCCTAAAGATTCTGAAATCTTGCCAAGGCAGCCCCCAACAGCCACAACTATGCTAAATTATATGTTTATATTGAAATACAATTCCTTTTTGTGTAAAATTGTGAATATAGAATCTAAGCTGCTGTTTCCAAAAATGTTACAAAATCACGTTGAGGCTGAAATGGGCTTCTGTTCACGTATGCAGTCTGTAGTTGTCATTTGTCTTCAAGTTGTGCTTTTTTTTTCTTATTGATGGTGGACAGTAGTGTGGAAGTGTTGAGGAAAGTGCACATGATAATATCAAGACATGGAAAAAGAAGGAATGTCACCTTAGCATG